CAGATTTATATTATCACAGAAGTATAGTTCGGATATTAACACTAATCCAATCTAAACTAATCTATGGTAGCGGTATAAAGTAGGGTATAAATCACCATTTGAACATGGTGCTTCAAATAGTGATTGTATTGATTACATCTTTACGCCACCAGGTGGCGACAAATGACTGTTAAAATTACCTGTTTGTAATTTAATCATTCGTTCATAAACGCTGATTCATTCAATACTGAAAGTGTATTTATAAGTCATTGAATTATTCATTTAAATCGAGTTTTTTTGTAATAATTCAGATTATTGAACATTTTACTTGGACTGTCGCAATTACTATTTTGCCAGAACATCGTTTATCGATGTTCATCGTTTTATCGTTATTTTGTTTAGTTGGGAGAATCGTGATCTCTGTTTGAAACAAACAAACAAACAAACAAAAAAATGTGATTCTCAATTTATCCAGAACCATGATGCAGCTCAAGGTCATCTTAAGATAGGTGGGAAAATAGTGTGCTTTTATCTGTTCTCAATAAGACATTTTGTTCTGCTTAAACCCCATTATATATTTTCGACTTAATTTTATATGAAAAATGTATATAAATAAGTCTCCACTGCACAGTCACTGCACTACCCGTTTTCATTCAAGAGTTAAAGGTGAGGAACGTTTTTAAACGTAGTTTCTATCATTGCCCACTAGAGGACAGTATTGATCACAATTTAAATCCACAAGTGAGGTTCATGTGTGCAGTATTTTCATATAGTAGCACACATTGACAGATTTTTAAAGGTATGACAACACCTGTTGAATTGTGATTTTTTTTTTTTATCTCTGAATCCAATCACTCATTTATGTTACTATTGCAAAAACAAAGATATTTGCTTTGCATGATTATAATTCCATGCAGATAGTTTACATTCCAAAACTAGTGAACATACTAAGAGCATTTTCTTATGGATTTTTGACAGTATTTCAATATTTAAGTTATATATAGCTATATGTATATATAAGTTAGAGGTATTATCTTAACACATTTTTCAGACAGATAACCCACCAGATTATTAGAATTAGGCTACATCATTCAGAGATGGGAGTAAAATACATTTATTCAAGTTGCAAGAAAAAATTTGGGATTAAATGGGTTAATTTATTTAAATATAATAATTTTAATACTGAAAAAATTAGATGCTAAAAAATAATCAATTATATACTTTTTAATTATGAAATTAAAACCTCCAATAGGTGGCGCCAAATCACAGTCTTAATGTACGAGTCATAGAAGCATTCTTTCAATTGGCTTTATGCACAGCTGCACTACTTCCTGAACTTAAGCCAGCTCCTTGTTTCCTGTCTGCCATTATTGGTCAAATTGATTAATTCAGGTGTGCCTCACCGTGATGTTTGTTTTTCCTGTGCTTGTGCTACGTCAGTGACGTCACGCAATCGCGCAGAATCTGATGTGGCTGCGTCAATGGTTGCTTTGCTTTCATTTTGTTCATCAATTGATGTTGCGATGATTTATATAATTCTCGAGTCATACAGTTCAAGTCAAATAAAGTCTCGAGTCATTGGATCTAAAGTCAAATTAATAGGTCATGTAATTTTCTTAATTTAGTCAAGCAAGTCTCAAGTCCTTAAATTTGCGACTCGAGTCAAGTCACGTGACTCAAATCCCCCATCTCTGACATCCCTATGCTGACATCATTTAAAAAAGAAAAGAGAAAGTTCAAAACACTGCATCCCTTATAAAACATTGTTTCCATAAAAGTTTTGTTCTATGAAGATAATTTAATGAAAAAAAGTTAATAGCAAAAAGTCAAGATCCCTCAGCTAGTGAGCAAATTTCTGCCCCTGGGAGTCAAAATCTTAAAACAAAAGATCAAATCTATCCTAGTATCCAAAAGTAATTGACCTGTGGCCTTTCATTGGAATTCATCAGATTTGCATTCTTACTATATTTAACAAGTCATAAAAAGATCCTGTGTTGTTAGTCAAACTGCCTTGAATTGTGGCATTCACATTGTGAATTGTGCCGCAAGGAATTGTGGCATTTCACGTTTTTAGCTGTGACAACTTGATGTTATTTCATGCAAGTCCACATTCATACACGTTATTTTATTTATTAAGAGTTACATTGGGGTTTGATGCCCTGCTGCCATTACAGTTCTTGTAAGTAATTTGTTGAACTGTTTTGAGTGAGTGGTACTGTGGTACTGGAGTGAAATTTATGTGGCTGATATCATATTGATCTTTTTTTTTCCTTCTGTCTGGCCAGCCTTTATGACTTACTCATTCACATGTTCCACAATTTTTAAGTGCATAAAAATAAAAATCTAAAATAGCCTTCAGTTTTAATCTGTAAATGTGTCCATACCATATTTCAATTGAGAGCTGTAGTACTGTAAAAAAAATTGTTTCATGTTTAGTAATCACAACATTTTTTCTTTTGTCAAATCAACTTAAATAATTTATTTAGTTCAGATAACATATAATTTTGAGTTTCTGATGATTAAATCATTCTCCTTCATTGTATTAACTCACTTTTTCCATTTCAATGAACTTAAAATTTTAAGGCAACCAGGTTACTTACTTTTTTAAGTTAAACCAACAATATTTTTTTACAGTATAATATATATATATATATATATATATATATATATATATATATACTGTATATACTGAAGAGTCTGTGACTAAGTACATTGTGCTGTGACTATTATGTTACAACACAAGATTTTGACTAAAAATCGATGCACCTCTTGATAATAAATGTTGTGATGTTATTTCCATCAAGAGAAGGATACATTTTTGGTCCAGATTTTGTATTGACAAAGCAAGAGTCAAGAACTTTGTAAAGTGTCCTTCAGCACATCCCAAAGACTTTTATTTTGATTTATTTGATTGGTAACACTTTACAAAAAGGTTCATTAGTTAACATTAGTAAATGCATTTACTAACATCAACTAACAATGAGCAATGAATTAGTTATAGTGTTTATTAATCTTTGTCAATGTTAGCTAATGCAAATACAGCTGTTCATTGTGCGTTCATGTTAGTTCACAGTGCATTAACTAATGCTAACTAATACAACCTTTGATTTTAATAATGTATTAGTAAATGTTGGAATTAATATTAACTAAGATTAATAAATGCTAAAGAAGTATTGTTCATTCTTAGTACATTCATTTCATTCTACATTCAGTTCATTCTACAGTACTAATGTAGTTAACTAATGTTAACTAATGAACCTTTTTGTAAAGTGTTACCATTTGATTTAATGATTTATTTTAAGAGTATTTTTAAGATATTTAAGATCTGGACTGAATAAGGTTATTCATCTTTGAAAATTATTTTTCATGCTCCCTCCCAACCATCCTTTCACAATATAAGCCTGATGAAGTTAGCGTAGGAGATGGAAGGATATCCTGGCAACCAGGTAGAAACAGGAAGAAGTGTTCATTTCATGGGTCACACAGCCCCAACAACCCAAAATAACTTGCTTGAAACTCCTAGGCCTTTGAATTCAGTGTGTGTAGACATAAGACTTCACATGAGAGTGCTCAGGTATACCATCATTTTTGGTCCACAATTTCCCCTAATTCTGATACATTGTACATCTATAACTATTAAGCCATCTATTTAGGATAAATCTGTATTCACACCATGCATACTTGACTTTCATGGCTATAAAAAACACCAAATGACCAGCAAAGGTTAGTCTTGACATTCCCAATGATGATGGCGTGTCATTCGTGCTCGTTTCTCGCTAATCTAGAAAGTTGATGCAAATGCTGGAAAACGTCCTGCCAGTTATTTGCATGCAAACAAATGTGTGAGGATCATTTCAAAAGCTGACTTCTGATCAGCATCTATAGTATAGTTCACTAAAGCGGAGTTGGATTGTGTGTCTTTGGTATAATGGTCAAATTCAGCTGGAGTTTGGGAGTAGACACAGTTGTTTCACTGGGATAGACAGAGTGTATCTCCTGCCACTCGCAGCTGAGGTATCTGCATCATGGAAACTGGTAAGGTATAAATTGACCTGATTAAAAACTCAACTAGCTTGAGCTCAATTTTTGTCATGCTGTTTAATTTTTAAGCTAAGATTAATCTTACAATAGTTGAACTGCATTATTTAATATTTAACTCTAAAGTTAACCGGTGTGATAACGAAATGACAAGAAATCTTCATAATAGACGAGACTCTGTGTACTTTGAGCCTGTTTAAAATGACTATTGATGCTGCAAAAATGGGATAAATGTGATATTTCAAACACAACCGCTTTTGATGCTTACTGTAAAATACCAGCAGAACTTCAGAGCTCCCCAAAAAAACATTCATGAAGCTGGGGTCTTTTACATAACGCTACAATGATTTTTGCATGTAATTTCCTATCACGGACATTTTAAATTGCAAATACTCTGTTGTGTTGACTAGGATCTGTGCTTCCCAGGAATCCCCTTTTTGTGTGTTTTGGGAAATAAACTTTCAACTTTAGTTCAGATGTCGGTATATAACTTGGCACTTGCACAGATACCATGCAAATGGTTAGTGAGACATATCAGGCTGACATTTTGAGTCACAAAAGCAGATTTGACAGAAACATAAAATGATAATCGCCCCCTGATGATGTTGCAACAGGACAGAGTTAGTGTTTGTAAACTGACCAATTTGCATTGACCAAAACCAAAGATAATTTCCATGCCAGTTATATAGATGCGCGCCATAAAACTGACTAGAGATACTGTACCTGGTCATAAATTAAGCTGCAAATGATCAATAATGATGTAAACGATGTGTCAAATGTGCAATTATTAAACAAATCGTAGCGTCTGAATATCAACAGTTTTATAGTCAATGCATGCTGTGTTTTGTGATTTGTGTGCAATTGATTTTATCTGATAGATATTCATTTATGGTATGTTTGTATCAGTATTGTATCAGCCATCCAGAGTTGATCAGCACACATTTTAAAGTACTTTTCATTGTACTTTACCCTATTTTTTGCAGAATGCTCAAAAAGAGTGTATCAGGGAGTCCGAGTCAAGCACACCGTGAAAGATCTGCTGGCAGAAAAGAGGTCGCGGGAGACGAGCGGGCCGCACTACACGGTAATTCCTCCGCTTAATCTTACCTGGTCAATACCCTCAACTGAAATATACCCCGCCCTGTCATTCACAATGCTTCCTTTCACTCCATTCACCCTGCCACTCTGCTCTTCTTTCACATATGCAAACAGTCAGTTTAAAACAGTTGGTATTTTCTGTGCCCCGCCACTTTATTTGCTCATTGGCTTATCTTTTTATTCTAATGATGAACCTACAGCCTCTAATATACAAGCCCTCGGAGTCTTGTCCTTTTCTCACACGGGTCGGGTGGGATGAAACAAAGCCCGTTAGTGAATACCTGCACATAAGCGGCAAACAATAGCAGCAGTGCTGATGGTCATGAGCTCCTGAGGTTTGGGAGTAAATCATCCTTTTGCTGCTGTAGTATGGCTATGCAAAGTCAAACACTCGCACACCTGCTCCACTGTATTGTTCCTCCTCCAGACCACAGACAAGTCGCCTGTTGTCACTCTTGACAAGCTCAAATCAGACTTGCAGACATCTGGCTGCACAAGAGGCACACTGAGCTCGCTTTTGTTTGAATAACTAGCGTAATGACTTCTGTCTCGTCAATGTTCAGAGCTAATAGTATTAATGGATTTAAAAAAATGGACATTTTACAAAAACATTTATATTCAATTTTAATATGTAATACAGAACATAAGCATTGTGAAAATAAAAAAAAATATATATATATTAGGGCTGTCAAACAATTAATCGCGATTAATCGCATCCAAAATAAAAGTTTGTGTTTTCATAATATATGTGGGTGCACTGTGTATAATTATATATATATATATATATATATTTAAGAAATATTTTCATGTATATACTTTATATAGATTTATATATAATTTATATTATATATCAATATCAATATTTTATATATAAAATAATATTTTTTTTCTTAAATATACATGCATGTGTGTGTATTTATATATATATATATATATATATATACACAAAATAATTATACACACAGCACACACACATATATTATGTAAACACAAACTTTTATTTTGGATGCGATTAATCGTTTAACAGCCCTAATATATATTAGTAAATGCAATAATAAGTTACAGTTACAAACTACATACAAGAAATTAAAAGTAGTAAAATGAAATATATTTGTAATCGAAATTATTCAACCCCCATTGCGTATCAGTTTATTGGCAAAATGTACAGACATTGAGCTGTTTGCAAAGAACAAATTAAACAAAATAATTGAAATAGTTTCACACAAAAAATGTTTCACCCCAAACTCTGCAGAAATCAATAAAAGTAGCATTTTCTGTTGTCTCAAAATTATTCAACCCCTTCATGGCAAGCATTTTGATTACTTTAGAACACCCTTTTGCTGTTATGACCTGCGGCAAACGAGATGTGACAGCAGCTTCTGGCAACATTTCTTCCTTGTTCAGTAATAAGGGTTTGCGTGCTGCAACCGCTTTCTTCAAATCCCATCAAAGATTTTCTATGGCGTTCAAGTCAGGTGAATGAGAGAATCTTCCAGGACTTCTACCAAGCCTTGGTGGAAGTTTAGGTATGCTTGGGATCATTGTCTTGTTGGAAGGTCCATTGACAGCTTCAGCTGACGTTTTCTCCTAGGATTTCCTAATATACAAAAATGAATCCATCTTGCCTTCCACATGCTGCAGGTTTCCAGTTCCAGAAGATGCAAAGCAGCCCCAGAGCATCACCGAGCCACATCATGCTCAACTGTAGGCAGATTCTTTTCAACATACGCTTCATTCTTCCTCCTCCAAACACACCACTGATCCATAGGGCTGAAAAGTTCCTGTTTCGTTTTATCACTCCACAGAATAGAATCCCAAAAATTATTCGGCTTATTTATATGATTTTGTGCTTTTGGGTCAGCAGTGGTGGAGATCTGGCATGCATTTATTAAGCGCCTTACTGTGTAAGGCCATCTAATTCGATCCAATGGCGGTATTCGATGAGAGGTGAAAGTCTCACGCGGGTTCCTTCTTTTCTCATGGCATAGGGATTTTAAATTAAATGCAATACATTTTATCTTATGTATTAACTAGTTATTTCACCTGACTTCATTAATGAAAAGGTTTTTCAATGATATCTGTGCATCATTAAATCAACGTGAATGTTTGACTATTCCTTTTAACTCTAATGAAAATCAAAGTCAAAGTCAAATATAATAATTTATTATGTTAGGTAAATGTATTATCACAATTTCACAATCACTTGAAAGATAATCGATGCAAACCATCAAATGTTCTAGAACAAAGAGAAAAATCCTTTACCCGACATTATGAATTACATGAATGTTGAGTCTCGGTGACTCAGCATTCACGGGCTGATCTGAGATACAGAAGAGGCCCTGATCTCTAGTTGCATTTCATTAGCCAGACCTCATTTCATATGTAAACCTGAGTTTACAGTGCAAATGTAGCTACTGTGTTCACCCCCCAGACTTACTGGGTGTAGAAGCTGACCATTTGCTAACAGTGGTCATTTGCATTCACGAATTTACACCTTTTGGAAGTAGGACCATGCCTAGAGACCACATTCCTTTGTGTGCCAGTTATCCCTAAACTCTTAAAAACCTTATTACCTTTCGTTTTGCTTATTTGGAAAAAGAACACTTGTGCCAGTCGCACTTTTCAAATAATACTAAACGCATGTATAAAACTGTATGATAGATGTTCAAATTAAAACCATATAGATACTTATGCAGAGAAGAAGTGTGTGTGAGAGTTCAAATGTTAATTTGCCAAGGTCCTTCATCTCATAGACCAGTGGTCTATCTCTTCAACCAGTTTCCTAGTCTTAGCTGAAACCTTAGTGCCTGTTGCCACCAAGTCTTACTGCACGTCTTTTGCAGTCACTCAAGGGTTTTTCTGATCCTGTCTTCTCAGAAATCTGGTTGCAGCCGTTGATAGCTTCCTTTTTCTGACCTGACCTGACACTGTTAACTAACTTTAACTTTGAACTTGCAAACTTAAGCGGTGTCTCTAGGAACATTTAGTGTCCTCGCTATCTTATCCTGTTCCTTGTTTGTTAAGGGTGAAGATATCTTCTTTTAACATTTTGTTCCGTTCTTTTAACTTGCTTGATAAGTTGCATCACGTGTGCTTGCGTCAACACCTGTTTTGCAGATTTGTGTTGTTGTGAGGGATTTTATTCAGGGGTTGAATAATTTTGAGATGGCAGAGGTCATTAAAAGTTGCATTTTTAGTTGAATTTGTGAAAACCATTTTAAACATTTGATGTGTTAAGCTATTTTAATTTCTTTTGTTTGATTTGTTTATTGCCAACAGCTGAAAGTCTGCAAATATTTCCAATAAACCTGATCTACAATGGGGGTTGAATAATTTTGATTACAAATGTATTCTAAACATTAACATAAATACAAATTATATATGTGTGCGTTCGTGTGTGCCATTTAATCCAAAAATTGTACTGTTAAGAATGCACTCTAAAAAATGCTGGGTTGTTTTAACCCAATTTTGGGTCAAATATGGACAAACCCAATTGGATTAAGAAATGCAATTTATAAATTTAACCCAACGGTTAAAACAAGCATGTTTTAGAGTGTGTTTAATATATATTAGGTTAAGAATATATATTATTAAAAAGTATTAAAATTAAGTATTCTGAACATTAATGTGTGTGTGTGTGTGTGTGTGTGTGTGTGTGTGTGTAATTCCAATTTACAACTACAAAAAAAAAATGTTATTGTGTAATTTAATTGAAAAATTTTAATGTGAAGAATATTCAAATTTAATACTTTTAAATATATATTACATTTCCCACAACATTTTCCTACACAAATAACCTCAATAGCTTGGAAAAATGTGAGAAAATCAGTGTCATTTTCTCATGAGTTGTGTTACAGTTGTGACTTCAGATTTCCCTGTGTGATTTATTATTGGTTCTTTCAGTCTAGACAGGCAATTAATCATTTATTATATGTATTTTGTAACAGCTGAAAAGTAACTATGTTTTCAAAGCATTAAAAAGTGTAGGTGTCAATCATTGTGATCCCACAGGGACACGACTGAGACCAAACACATAATACAATGGCTGAGCAGGGGGAGGGTTGCACAGGTGAATCGGAGCATGTCGAGGCCACTCAGAACAAAAATTGCTTTATAATAAGCTTACTTCTGTATCTATGGGCTTTTATTTTGGGTAGAAGAGCCATCTGCAGACAGCAAACACTGTCCACTGAAGTCATGTTCAAACACAGGACCAAAACAATACACACACTTGCCAAAGGTTCAAGAGGAACAATAGTAAACTACTACTCTTGTATAATCTTTGCTTTAGTTGAAATAATAAAAGTGCCATTTAGAGAATAACAAAACTTTTATAGTGAGAGCTGATATTACAGAATGGCAAAAAGATTTGAAATATAGATAGATAGATAGATAGATAGAATACTGAATATATTTGGAAATGATCTGGTGTCATTAGTGAAAACAAAGTATATTTCCACTGACGAAAAAAGCAACATTTTTACAGCTGAAGATATTGGCTGCAAGGGAGCAAATAGTTTTCCATGTGGTCATATGAACTACTAATAAATATTATTCTTACTTCATGATGCACACACACTAACATGCACACATGAATCTAGGAAAAAAATGAATGCACAGAAATAAACTTTTAATAAGAAATAATAAACTAGAAATAAACAAGAGTTTTATCCATGTTTGTCTGACTTCCAATAAAAATGGTCCCTCTCCAATCCAAACAGTGCACACAGTTTGTCCAACTCCAGGATATTAAAACTCTCAGCTGCTTTAGATCTATTGTTCCACGGGATTGACCTCGACTGCTCTTGATCCTTGAGAACACCCATGAAAATCTATATGATCAGCGTTGCTGAAGTTAATGCTTTAAGATGCCACAGGGAAATTTGGACCCATTTAAAGTCAAATAAGTGACGATGTGGGAAATAAATTAAAGAATGGCTTTTGGTCAAACGAGTCTGTCTCTGTTGTGCATTCAATCTAATAAAT